GACGTATACAGAGCCTTGAGTTTTGGCTAGAGATTTAGTTAGAGAGAATCTCATTAGACTTTGAGTTAAGTAATCGTTAGAGAAGTAGCGTCTAGATTTGTTACAGACATTGACATATTTTGTCCACTGAGCAGCCATTGCAACTATCGTCATCAGCTCTATCATCATATATCTTTATTTAATATTCATGGTTCGATATTTTTTGTTCGTATGTTTGCTAGATTGCTTCTAATAAACATTAAAACTACTAAACTGAAAAATGTTCTTGGACATTACCTGACCACAGCTGAGTGATGCCCGCTCACGAAATAAATATCTTCCTAAAATTATCCATTTTTAAATTTTGAAAATTCATATAAAAGAAATAACTGTGAAATCTTAATGTATTTCTTATAATTTTTGCTGATAGAGCAAACTTTAAAAGCAAAATTATCACTAGAAAAAAGGACTCACAAAAAGAAGCCATATTTTAATCAAAGGAATTGAACCTTTGCCACAAACTCTCATTTTCTAATCCCTATATATTTACAAGTTAATGTTGTAGACCTTAGATATCTCCAAATATGAATTATGTTGGGAAAAAAAACAAATTTGTGTATCAAAGATTAAAGCATTCGGTTGCAAAGATAAAATGATCATAAAAGTTTAGTTTGCGTCAAAGAATCAATTCCTTTTTAAAATATAATATCTTTTTATTTTAGTCCTGAAGACCGTCCCACTACAAGGGTAGCATGGGAGAGCAGAGCAGGACGTGACAGAAAGGAGGATAGGGCAGGACGAGAGAGGACGGATGATAGGCCAGGACTGATGCAGGAGAGGATAGGACGGGATAGGGTTGCTTCAATCAGCAGTGCAGGATCCCCAGGCAGAAGGTAATCTTAAGATTTATTTAATTATCATCATAATTTTTCATGAACTAAAGCGGCACACACCTCATTATCATATATCATTGGTCAGAAATAAATCTAAAAGTTTGTTCTGTAATTGTAATACTGATATTTTATTTTAGCAGCAGTTTCTCGTCTGATTTTTGGTCAAATATATTAAGATTCTCTGTAGATTCTTCAAAACCAAAACAATCTTGTTTTTATTTCAACAAAAAGTGTAACTTTCATTCTAACCTAAAATGGTTGGATTTTTATCATTATTTAGTATTCTCAGGACGATCTGCAGATTCAGATGTTTTCACCATTTTCTCTGAAAGAATTTTAAGTGCAGCTCTGGTTGATGTTAATCAGTTGAAAACTATCTTTGAGCTCAGTTTTTTATTCAAACATGAAAAAGAACAAGCATATTAAATTTATACAAAATATCTACACTATAATAGTTATTTTAACATAAGAAGTGTATATTTAATTGATAGATAATTTTGAAATAAACAAGTCCCTATTCTTGTATCCTTGTATCCTTTATATCCCTTTACCCCTGTATCCATATATACCTGTATTGCTGTATCCCTGTTTCCCTGTATCCCTGTGTCCCCGTATCCCTGAATCCATGTATGTCTGTATCCCTGTATCCCTATAACCCTTTATCCCTTTAGTCCTGTATCCCTGTATCCCTGTATCCCTGTATTGCGGTATCCCTGTACTTCTGTATTCCTGTATCCCTGTATCGCTGTATTCCAATTTTCAGTACTTCTCTATTCTTGCATCCCTGTATCCCTGTAGCTCTGTATCCCAGTACTTCTGCATTCCTGTATCCCTGTATCCCTGTATCCATGAATCCCTGTATCCTTGTATCCTTGTATCCCTGCATCCCTGTATCCCTGTATCCCTAGGAAGTTCCAANACCTGTGAAAGGTGCGGAGTTTAAATGGAAACTACCTGCTTTGTATTGTAAGATAGACAAACAGTAATGTCGTCTTTTATAAATATATCAAAGCTAAACATCTTCCTTTATTAAATGTTTAACGTCCCTAAATTTAAAAATTAAATTGTTTACTTTCCTTCATCAAAGCAATTGCAAACTATTCAAATACTAACTTTTTCTTTTCCTTCCTTCTTTAATTATTTAATTATTATCTCCCGGGGTAAATTTAGGATTTCCAGGGGGGGGTTGGAAAATTATTGCTATACAACATGTAACAATCTTTATAAAAAGATTCATGACGTAAAACCTTTTATATAACCTTTTTAGGGCCATGCTTGAATTTCAAAATGGAAAAAAAAGGTTTTTAGTTTTATCTGTTACATACATATTGGATTCTTTAGCGCTATATATTTGCATATATAAATTTAGAGCAATAAAAGTAAATTCTAGCATCTCTAGTTGAAAATAATGCAACAATATTCCAGGCAGAATCCTATATACTTACACAGAATACTAGAAACCTTCTAAAATGTATCCATATATAAAGTAGTAATCTCTGTTTGTCTTTCTGTTTGTTTGTTTGTTCGATTTTAACTCAGACCCCCTGGATTTGATTTTCCAAAAATTTTGATATGGGAACTTGGGTTACCCATGGGGAATGTTCTAAGCTTGGTTTTCAAATTCAAAGTTTAGTTTGTCGACTTTAATAACGAAAATTATGTTTCCCCTGGTAAAATTGTTCATGTAAATAAGAAAAGAAACAGAACAGAATTTATTCACGAAAACAGGATTAAAGGGACTGTGAGCGTAATTCAAAGTGCATCTGCCCGATTCTCAACAATATACCCTTGAAACCTTTATCAGGGTCAACATTGTGGAAGATGGTGTTGTTTTTCTTGGTTTAATATTTTTTATATGGTCTCATGCAGTAGAAATGCGCAAGACACTGTGGTGAGAAACAGTCCCTTTAATAGATAAGTATCTTGTGTAAATATGAAAAAGTTTAATGTCTATATTTTCAGGTCAAATTCTCCACATAATATGGCGATAGAGACTTCATTTTGCGGTGGAAAACCTATCCCAACCCCAAGGTTAGAAACATATTATATTTGCATAAGTTAATAACATTTAGACCAAGAAGACCACCGCGGGAAGGTTATTGGTTGGTAAAAAGTAAAAAAATTGCCACACGCAATGTTTGCAACCTATAATGTCATAGAGCTTTGAAATTCTTTTAGATCTAAAAGCCAAATTTAAAAATATCAAAGATTTTCACCATCAGGTTGCTAAAATATTATAGGACACTGGCAGTGGCAGCCGTGTATTACATTTGAATTTCCGAGCCGGGTCAACTTTTCCGGTCCTAGTTTGTACTGTATCGCCCGGACATTGGGTAAATAAAGCATACACTCAATAGAACTAGCCGGTGCAACATGATTGACGCGGTCAGACTTTAGGTTGAATTTACTTTTACCAAAGGGTCAGGGGTGCGTGAGGAAGTTGAAAATTATGTTTTGTGTATGATTAACGTTTCTTTATTTTATAATTAATGCAATATAATCACAGCAGACCCACGGCCCTAGGTAAATTATGGATGTTTGAAATAAAAACAACATTGACTGAACAAAAATATTTTTATTTTGAAAAGTTATAAACCCAGGAAAATCTGCGAAAGAACATGATTTATTAATTCATATATTTTGCAACCCCAGATTTGATATGTCAAACTTTAAAATAGATCAAATCGTCCAAGTTTGACATTTCTGATATTTCAACGATTTACACTAAGGTTAGGCCTCTCAAGCTCATACATACAATATACATTATATTTATTCATGCAAACAAACAATAAGATTGTTTGAACATAAACCGTTTTCCTGCCGGTAATCCCCTCTATAGCCTTTTATTGTCTGTTATATCTTACAATAAAGAATATACATACAACTTGAGCAAAATATGTTAAATAACATATTTATATATTTATTGCATTTCTCATGTTTTTCCAACTTCTATTATTATTACTACAGTACAAAAATACACATTCTATAAACTATTCATTATTCTCTAATCACAGAAATAGGATATACAATACACATATAATTCTATCACATTAAGCCTATTCTATCTTATTCAGTTCTACATAAACATAATTGTTTTTTCTCTCTCAATGTAAGATAAATAAAGAAGTACATACACACTTCCCCTAAACAGTCTATACAGATTTTTCACAAAAAATTAATTTTTAGTACAGGATGTATAGTCCGTGGTCTGTACCCAATTTTTTTAAAGCTTAGTCAAAACAAGGTGCTTTGTATTCATAAAATAAGTGCTTACCAATTTATCTGTTTCGTATTCAAAATAAAGAATTCTTTTATATATGTAAAATATTAATAGTGAACTGATGTTGGCTCCTTATGATATTAAGTCTTTACCAAATATCACAATAAGATAGAATATTATGATTTTGGAAAAGGAAGGTGAGAGCTAGACTCAATAATTTTGAATCTTCCAATCCATGATGATGTATTAAGACCGATTTCTCTTAATAAGCTGGTAAAATCATTTGCTTTATAACATCAACAAATGTGGATAAGATTTCTGAAATATCGTCGTCCTATTCCACAGTTTTAGGAGGCTCACTGTATACATAATGCCCTCTTTGAAAGCACTTTGCCATCTCTACTACCATATAATCATTTGCTTTATATTCCATTGGTTCCAGTCCTTATGTACTTATTTTAATCTTTATTCTAAACCTAGACAAATTATACATAACTATCATCCTAATCAGGAGCGGCTTATGATTTTTTCCAGGGGGGGGGGGAATAATTGAAATATTGCGAGGTAAAATTTGAAAAACTGTAACAATAAAAAAAAACTTGAAAAGAAATAAAATGAAATATAATAAAGGTTGCAGCCCGACAATTTTTAATAATGTTAAGAATTTGTATTCTATTATTTGAAATTTCAGCATTTATCTCGATCTTATATTTTGTTTTATTATTTTAGTTTTTAGTTTATTTATATTCTAATATGTTGTTTGTTTCTAAATGTTGATTGCAGAAAATAATTATCCTCCTGGTCCCTGAGCCGGGGGCTTTCGGGAATTATCTTTAGAACTTAATTGTTTTTCTTCTTGTTTTATACAAACGATATATAATGGGAAAAAACACAAATGAATCATTTATATTTTGTATCTTGCTTTAAAGGGAGTGTTCGCGAAAAATCAAAGGGGTATAACCTTACGGCGAAAAAAAGCGCTTTTGATCGCTAATAATCTTACTTCTATCTATTGCGTCTATAAGAAGAAAATTGTTGAAAACGAATTATACCGAAGAATGTCGCGTAGCGTCCAGAAAAATTCAGAAAGTTGCAACATTCAAATCGGATCGTAAAATAATCAATTTAATTCCAAACAAGTCATTCAGATATTAAAACCAATAGTCATTGATTATTTTTCGACCCATTCGTATATAGTTAATATTTCATAATATTTTTGATTTTGTTTCTTTAAAATAATTTTTCGCTGGCGCTGGATTTGCGAACATTCCTGGAAAATATGAAAATGTCTTCATCATTATTAAAAAAAAAACTCGAAACTGGAATAAATGTTTTCAAAATTAACTATCAGATCATAAAAATATTAAAAATATTATGAAATATCAACTATATACGAATGCGTCGAAAAATAATCGATGCTTTTAAGTGTAATAGCTGAATGATTTGCTTGGAATTAAATTGATTTTTACGTTCCGAGCTGAATGTTGTAACTTTCTGAGTTTGTATTGATGCTACGGCGACAAGTTTACTACACAGATCAGCTAAGGGGTAAAAGATACATGCATCGGTATTAGTCGTTTTTAACAAATTTCTCCTTATAGACGCAACGGATAGAAGAAAGATTAGTAGAGGTCAAAAGCGCTTATTTTTCGCCGTACGTCTATAACCCCTTTCAATTTTCGCGAACACAAGGCTTAAAGATTTCCAAAAAACTAAAATTTAGATAAACAATTTAAATGAAACTTTGTAGGTAGAGTTATTTAAAAATCCGTAAACAGTTTCTTTAATTTTTTCAATCCTTTTGTTTTCAGCCTTGATCTGGCAGGAGAAACAGTTAGCATTGCCAGCTCAGATGTAAGTATCTATCTACTTTATTCTTATCTATCTTTTTTATTCGTATCTATCTACTTTATTCTTATCTATCTACTTTATTCTTATCTATCTACTTTATTCTTATCTATCTACTTTATTCTTACCTATCTACTTTATTCTTATCTATCTAACTTCATCCTTATCTATCTTACTTCATCCTTATCTATCTAACTTCATACTTATCTATCTTACTTCATCCTTATCTATCTAACTTCATACTTATCTATCTTACTTCATACTTATCTATCTTACTTCATCCTTATCTATCTAACTTCATACTTATCTATCTTATTTCATACTTATCTATCTAACTTCATACTTATCTATCTTACTTCATACTTATCTATATCTATCTTAATCCTTATATATATCACGTGGATTTAACGGTTCTATCAATATATCAGAAAGTGGTGGCTTTCAATATCAATTTAAACTGCTGTACATAATATTTTATCTTTTTTTCTTAAATACTTTTTTGTCGGCATATACATTTTGAATGAAAAAGTATCTATCTGCATTCTATCTATCTTTATTATGAATTATACTTATTTCTTTATTATATATATATTTATATTTCATATTTTCTACCCTATTGTCTTCCGCACTCTTTATCTTTTATCTTATTCTTTATAGAAAATACTTCCTCTAATTAATACTGAGTAGAAACTATAAACTTTCTTTTCCTTGTCTTCTTAATATTTTTGAAATATCAAAAGCCTGCATTATCAAATTGCAAAGAAATTTGTTTTCCAAAGTTAGAGGCTGCTGTGGCAAATGTTTATTTTCTATAAAATTGAAATTCTTAAAATAGAATTAAAACCTCAAAAGACGAACTAATATTAACTAAACTACGTTATGATGGACCGGAAGTAATGTTTACTAAATATCCAAAGTATTATAGAATGGACCGGAAGTAAACTACATCATGAAAGGATGCACCGAAAGAATTATAAACTATATTATGATAGGATGGACCGGAAGTAAGATTAACTATATCATGATAGGATAGACCGGAAGTAAGATTAAATATACTATGATAGGATGGACTGGAAGTAAGATTAACTATAATATGAAATGATGGACCGGAAGTAAACTATATCATGATAGGATGGACCGGAAGTAAACTATATCATGATAGGATGGACCGGAAGTTATATTAACTATATTATGATAGGGTGGACAGGAAGTAATATTAACTATATTATGATAGGGTGGACATGAAGTAATATTNTATGATAGGATGGACCGGAACGGGATTTGATTGAAGAAATAAATCGAAGAACTCAGTTTCCTATTGTAAAGCAGGTTAGTTTTTGTAATAATTTATATATAATGAGATTTTTTCAACTATAAAAGTTATTTTTTCCCCAAAAAATTAAAAATTGCCCTCTGCATGAATTTGTTGTCACTATGATGCAGGCGTGTGTTTGTCGGTCCACGAAAATAAACCATTTTTCATCAAAGATTCACAAAAAATACATAATTTCACAAATATTCTTTTTCAAAAGTTGAAAGATGGATTTTATATAATATTTTGTATATTGATAGAACAGCATGACACCGGTTGCAAAATGATACATGATTCCCAATCCCACAAAAAATATCTACAAAAGCCATTTTTCTTCATTATTGCATATAGCCTGCGGAAATTTGAAAAAAAGTTACAGACTTGCGCAATTTATACAGCAGAAAAACATATAAAAATTATCAGAATGAAACACTTTTAAACCTAAAAAACTGACAATATCTTTCACTCTGTTTTGAATCGAGCATTGGCACGTTTGAATAGAGGGTTATTACGCTTACTGTCCCTTTAAACCATCTAGTTTTAAAAAATGTTTTATCATTTGAAATCTTACAGTCCAATTAGAAACTTAATATGTTGTTAAAAAGCTGTATTTGTTTCCTCAGCAGAGATTTTAAAAGCTTAAACCCTAGTAAACCCCCGGCTTAAGCGCGTTTATTTACAACTAAGTAAAGACAAAGCAAATACTAAAGTTTGAGCTGGACTTGGTTTTAAGGAAACCGGACCTAGTTGATTTTATCTCTTTTTAGACTTGATTCTAATTTAAGCCGGAGATTTCGTAAAACTCATATATTTTTTAGATTTAAAATCTCCGAAATTATCTATAGTGTCAAATTGTCTAGCTTTATAAAACAAACTCATCTATGAAAATAATATATAATAAAAATAAAGTTATTTGAGTTGTTGAAACTTGAATGGAGAAATTGTCTGCTGATCTGCTTGCATATGCAGACAGTGCAAATTAGAAAGCAGTCTCTCATTGGTTGAATCAGAACCAATCAAAACCCAATCTAAGATTCGGGCTGTAAGAAGACCAGAGCTTGAGTGTAAGCTAGGCCACGGTTTACTTTTAAAATCTCTTTTTTTCATCTATAAACATAAAAATAAATTAATACTTTTTCTAGGAATGTTCAAATTTTAAAAACATTTTTTATCATGCTAGATCACTAGAATTTGTTTTTTCTAATCTGTAAATTGTAGTTTTTTGTATTTGCCGTTCAATATCGGGATAGGAAAACTATTGGAAAATAAATTAGATACAATTTTAGAAATACAAACTTTGAATTTGTCCAGTCGTTTTTTCAATTTGCTGAGATTTTACAGCTTTTAGCTGTTTTCTTGAAATAAAAGTTTGTTTCTAATTTTCTTGAAAAAAATTGAAAATTGAGAATGTTTTTTTTTTTAAATATTTAAATTTAGGATTCCTACAGTCATGCTATCTATCATGCGACCAAAACTACTAGGCGAGATGTCAGAAAACAAGGTTGGTTTTTTCAAATATTTAAAAACAAGGTTGGTTTTTTTTCAAATATTTAAAAACAAGGTTGGTTTTTTTTCAAATATTTAAAAAA